AGGCATTACTTCCTTAGTTGTACACTGAATGATAAACTGGGAGATATGTAATGAGAAAACAGCAGCTGCATCAGCCTGGGGAATTCTCAGCACTCTGAGAGAGCCAGTTTGACTGTATAAAGCCCCTCTCTTTCTCAACACTGTCCTTGAAGGAAGGAGAAGGGGAGGGCAGATGTGAGATTGGCCAGATGGGAGCTGAAAAGAGAGGTTCAGTAGCTTAAGTCATAAATTCAGATACAGCACCTCCTTGACAGTCCGCTAAAGTCGTGACTGAGGGTMATCCATTTAGTTACCATCTCTTCCTTTGTTAATAAACATCCTCCTCATCAAACTCAGCACAACTGAAGCAGCACAATGGTCAATCTACATCAGTTAAAACCCAGCTGCCTAAAACCATACTGTCAGTCTGCCTGACCTCRGTCCTGGATGCTCCTCTCAGGTGCTTATACAACAGGAACAATACCCCAGGACCCTCACTCTTTCATTCAGAGGTTTTCAAACACAATCCAAGAGAAAGTGTTAAAGGACTTGGATGGCTTGATCTAGAGAAGACATGGTAGCCACTTCAACTTTGTAAAAGACTGTGGTGAGAAAAGGATTTGTCTTTCTCTGAATCCACTGGGATAAGGACTAAGGCCTTAGACTGTTAAGGAGGGAGTGACACATTATGCATGAAATATTCTGAATGGATAACAAGTAGCTGAATGGATTGCTGGAGGTGATCTTCAGGATCTGATCAGACTTTTGTCTGCAAGGGTCAGGTAAACTTGGAGCAAGGATACGGAAAATTGGGAAAGATGGTTGAGTTGGCCTCAGAAGGGCATTTCTCATCGTGAATAGAAGCTTAGCATTAGATTTGTGTTTAAGGAAGATCAGGTCTATCCTGACAACCTATGTAGTATAACCCAGAACCGAATGAAGAAAGGGCTGAGCACGCTTTTGCTCTCAGTGTTCATGCCTCCACCTAGGCAGGTTGGAAGCTTCTCAGCATAATGACATGCAGCTCAGCCATGCTGTATTTGTTTTGTCACTAAACTGAAGACATTAGGCCTCCCCTATTACTTTTCATGGCCATTCAGCTTTACCTAATCAAACAAGAAACCTCTCCAGACATTGTGGATATTAAAATTTTAAAGGCTAACTACCCAGAAAAAGAAAAACCAAACGAAACAAAAAACCTCTTCATAAAACTTGTAGTTAAGTGATAATTTAAATCAAGTAGCACCTGGTTTACCACAGAATGCATTCATTTCTTATAAAATGTCACAACAAATAGCAGAGGTTAACTGACTCATTTCAGAGAAAAATCACCATCAGACTGTATCTTGAACAATAAACTGATGGTAYGGGGTAATGCACATTTTGAGATGGGAGAAATTATACATAATTTGGGATGCATTTGAAGTGAAACCTTGAAAGATGTTGGGCAGGCTGTATCAGAGCATGGCATTAACTGGAACAGAATTTTGTTCTGTTTGAAATCTCTGAGCATAAAGAACCAGGAGATCTGGGAACAAAGGTTTGAAAACTGTCATCTGCCAGTCATTATCAAATGTAACCCAGATGGCTGAAAGAGAGGATGAAATCACCAGCTGGCTGACAACTGTATAGATTATATCAGTGGCTTCCTGCCCTGCTTGCTAAAGGGACATACTGGGAAAGWATCCACACTAAGGAAAATCCCTGCACGCAATTGGCCAGCAGGAGAGAGTGCAGCGGTGGCACTCAGATACATCAAGGCTGGGGTGAGAGAGGGACTGGCTGGGGTGTGCTCTGCTAATTTCTGGAGGACATCTGCACAGTAGGTAATGAGAACAATAAATTGCTGTTGCTCATGATCCTTATGCCCAGCTGCCAGGTTCTTCTAAACACATGCAGATAGCATAATCCTTGCCCTACACAAAAGACAAGAAAATCTTGACACATGGGTGAAGGGATTTTACCTGTGGTTGAAAAGCAGAATGGGGAAGTACTCCATCTCCTGGGTCACAACCCAGAGAACTCAGAGAAGAAAAGGGAGATAATATTTCTGAGCATCATACACTCAAGTTGCCTCATGATGGTGATTTTACAGCAGAAGAAAACCCAATTCATGCGGTAAATGTTGTTACTTTTTAATGATTGCTCAAAATTAACTACTGTTCCCATTTTTTGCTTACTTCCTGTGCTCATCTCCTTATTTACCCATCTCTCTTTTATAAACACATGCATGTACRTAGGCAAATTCATCCCCAGTCAACTTCTTTCCCTCCTGCAAACAGCACATAATATCAGCCCAACAGCACTGAAAGAGGATTTTTTTTTCTTTGCTGTATTGCAAAATATGAATCCACTGTTTTGACATTGACAAAACATAAGCGTCAATGTGCAGGAGCATTTTAATGAGAATGTCGGGAATAATCTACCTCACCAATCTTCCATTCCAATGAAAAGCAGGTTTTCCCTTCCCTTCCCTTCCCTTCCCTTCCCTTCCCTTCCCTTCCCTTCCCTTCCCTTCCCTTCCCTTCCCTTCCCTTCCCTTCCCTTCCTCAAATGTGACCCAAGTCTCATGATGATAGTCAGGAAAG